CCACTGCCAGCTTCTGTTGGCAGTCAGTGTTCACCACCCTGCTGCCACTGTCGGCTTTTGTGGGTGGACACTGCTCGCCACCCCTCCACACCACCACTGCCACCTCTGGCTTATACCGGTCACCCATGCTTCTTTTGTTCACTGTGGCTGAACAATTAAAATCACTAAAAAAATATTCTGAACTCTCAGAAAGAAAGTAGTAACTTCTTTTGAAATTCTCTCCTGCCCCCCTTAACTTCTGAGGCTGTGTGCCAGGGCTGTCCAACTTCTCAGTGGCTGGGGGCCACATGCTGTACAGGCCACAGATTTGGGGGCCACATGCTATGCAGCCATGTGCCATATCGGTGGCCTCCTGTCCCAACACATGAGCAACCCAGCTTGCCCCACCATTTGCAGTCTCACAGACAACTTAAGGAGACTCAGCAAAGGATTTAATATTTATATGCTTATCAAAAGGGCCTGAGTTATACAAATTAATGGCAATTAATATTTCAAAAGGGAGATTAAACCTTGAGTTGCTGGGCTTAAAACAGTCTCTAACAAAAAGAAATCAAGATAGAACACATGTAAGGGGACAGATTAACTTTCTGACTATGAAGGATGGTCAGGCATTGGAATAAGTTACCCAGAGAAGTTATGGAATCTCTATCCCTGGAAACTTTCAAAAGCAGGTTAGACAGTCACTTGGCAGGGATGCATTAGTCAGGGATGGTCCTGCCTTAAGGTGGGAGCTGGACAAGATGACCTTATGAGGTTCCTTCCAGCCCTACTTTCCTAGGATTCTATGATTATGACCTGGAATGCCAATTACAGATATCTCATGTTATCCTCTGAAACATCTGGTACCAGCTACTGAGACATGTTATAGAACTAAAAGCACTATTAGTCAGATCCAGGAAAACTTAATTTGGTATATATTTCTGATGTACAATCATAGTACAATTTAAACCATAACTCAAGAGAAACCACAATTCAAAGTGAATTCTAAAACAATAAATGGAAAGGCTTAATATGCAATATGAAGTAGATAAACAACTGCTGTATTTAGTAGGTAATAATCTAGTGAATGTCTGAGCAAGCTTCCCAAAGAAGAAAACAAGCAATTAAAAACTCAGGTAGGTATTTTGGATTATATCCCATATACCTTTAAAGATCAGGGTCTTGTCCCAAGTAATGTGTGCATGTTGTTGGTTTTAATTTTTAAATCATTAAGTAACAGGGTGTATCTATATGATACACTTACTGCAGTTGCTTAATTAGCTCTGCAGTTAAATGTCAGTGTCTACACATGTGGTGTTATTAGGACAGAGTAAACTAATTAACTCCACCATAGGATAGTACTGCCAGCCACAAGTACTATCCTATTGTGAAGTTATTTACTCCACCACAATGCATGTGTAGACACTGACAGGGCGTAGCT